GACCCATTCGGGTCGAAGACGTTTACCACTTCCGTGAACATAAAAACGACAAAACCATTTCCATATTCTTAAGAAATCTCTTATTGCTAAAAGCAGAGCTCATTATTCAATTCCGACTATATCACGAGCATGTGTTTATGAATCACTACCAATCACTAGTGATGTCACCATGTGTGTTTGCGAAATGTTGAGCGTTTCCTGCCCTACTGATGGCAAGGTTTCAAACACACGAAAAGGCAAATCAGTTGGGTCTATATTGTACAAATCAAAACGCAGAATTATATTGGACATAATGTCTGTCCCTGATGGGTCAAATTCAGAAATGTCCTCTACATGTCTACACGTATGGAAATGCAAGTTCTGACTCAAGTGCATTCGTACACATGTTGATCATCATTTAGTGATGGAATTCAATACCTTGATTTATATTTATATTTAACATCGGGTAATTACAATTAGTAGGTTTCTTGCCAGGATAATTGGGGTGAGTGAGTTGTGTTTAAGGCCGCTTTTAACAGTATTCCAGTTATATCGCGGCGTGTCAGCTTAATGTGGGAGGAAAGCCCGAAGTATTGCAGTTCTTAACAGTTTACCACTTCAGTGAAACCCATGAGCATTGGTATGTTTCTGACAAACCTAGAAACATAATCGGAGCGAACCGGGATTCGAACCGACAATCATAGGTTTCTGGCGTGCCAAAGGGACGCAACTCCAAACAGCGAATTGCGGCGACTTAGACGACTGGGCCGCGCGTGCTCCCTCGCCAGGATACAGCCAGCTGACGCATATTCATGTAGACAGGAAGGTCAGGTAGTGACATTCAGTGTTTACAAACAAACATCACGTCACGTAAAAGGGGATACGCCACTGTGAATCATTCCTCTGCAGAAACCTTCACCGCCGCGCAAATACCAGCGTCAGGCAAGAACCGGGAAACACGTGACTGATGTTGTTGTGTCGACGCCGAACTAATGACCAGTTAGACTCCTAACGTGCAGACATTTCAGCAAAACAAGTTTTTCAAACGCTCATTAAAGCATAGTGTTACGTCATTACCATGTTACCATGTGCTGTCGTTATCGAAATAGCAGTCTGAGATGCGGAAAATCAATGTCTACAAAACAAGTTTCAGTTGTAACTACATTGCCCGTTGTCATTGTCTGACTAATCACTGGCCCTGTGACGTAGTATTAATACGCACATTCCTGGAAAACTTGCACTGTTCAGGTACCGTTTGTGAGAGATGAGAATACTTTCTTTCCACGACGAAATTTAAGAATGCCACTATGTATTTAGCTCGCTAAAATACAATGTTTACGCTGAAAACAGGATATTACCATCCAAAAGCATTCACGCGTCAAAATATTAAATAAATCTTTAAGCTATGTTGCATGATAAACGTCAGTTTAAGTTTGGAGCGAATGGCAGTCTACTACAGATGTAAAAAGGGCACAATGATTTTTTACAATGAAGAATACGTTTGATACCAAGGCGTGTGAGAGAGTGTTATTGCCGCCGCCGCACAGGTGTTAATACGCCATGCCATATGGCCGGTCATTACAGGAATTGATTGTTCAAACAGCCGCTGTTCCAACGTCCGTCTGACAACGCCGGTATGTCACTGATAACATACACCAGTTGCTGTCGTTACTCAGATATCTGTAATTAATTATGTGAATTAAAAAAAATCAACAATAAAAAAATACATAATGGCTGGGAATTAATATATTGCGCTTCTGTTTCAGGTTATTTACAATGGAGAAGTGATAGAGTCAATAGGAAGCAAGAGATGGGAGCATCCCAATGGATGATGCCCTTTAACACCATGTGCACACAAACTGTTGTCAGAGCGTCGTGGAGAGTCAGTGTCTTGTGTAACCACTCCTGTTTCTTATTCCTCCCGTGCACATTGACCTCATAATCCTCACCTACATGGGGTACAATGTGTGAAGCCCATTTCTGGTGTCCCCCGCCGTGATTGTGCTGGAATATTGCTAAAAGCAGCGTAAAAAACATACTCACTCACTCACTCACTCACTCACGCAGTCACGCACGCACGCACGCGCGCGCGCACGCACGGACGCACGCACGCACTCACCAGTTTCATAATGATAACCTGGGGTATGGCGGTACACTCCCGTGGGAGAATCCCAAAATTATGTGACACAAAGTTGCTTCTGTAAACACGGCGCCAAAGGTCATCCCAGACTATGTTCATAGATGTCCAGGTGGGACGGCCTAGCAGGCCACTCCATCCTTGGTATAGTCGTGTTGCCGGGCAAAGGCAAAGACCACATTTCCACGGTATGGACGGGCATTATCGCCATTAGGGAGTTGGGTTTAACGCCACGAGCACGGATATGCTGCTGTCACACCTAGAAACACAGGGATTGGAACCCACAGTCATAGATTTCTAAAGTTTTTTGCACAGAGAATATCGCGCGGAACATCTACAGTGACACCTTGCCCTTGTGAACTGCGTTGTCTTTAAACACACCAACTTCTTCTTGGAAGAAGGGGTTGAATGAAAACTGAACTGACGATGTCTGACGTCGATTGCAACGCTGATGATGTCATTAAAAAACCTATGACAAGCTTAAAATGATCCTATCCTGCCTCTGTGTTGTCACCGTGTCATGTCCAGGTCTTTGAGCATATGCAACAGTGCCAGTGGTTTGGTACTGAAGACCAAGTAACAGTATGGCTGAAGTTAAAACGTACGTGTGTTTGTGCGTGCGTGCGTGCGTGCGTGCGTGCGTGCGTGCGTGCGTGCCCGTGTGTGTGTTAACGTACGGATTAATGTCGGTTAATAGTGTGCTAGCCCACTGAGACACCTTATAGAGGTTTCAAATGTACAGCCCATTAAGACACAGTAGCCCCTTAATGCCAAGCGCCAGGCAGGATAACAACACATACTTTCCTTTAACGTCTTATGGTATGAAGACCGCCTCCGTGGTCTTGTGGTAGAGCGTCCACCCGGAGAGCGGAAGGTCCAGGGTTCGATCCCGGGCCGCGTCATACAAAAAGACGTTAAAAGATTGTACTTGTTGTTACCCTGTCTGGCGCTCGGCATTAAGGGGCTAAAACAAGGACTGGTCGGCTCGGAGTCAGTATACTGTGTCTGAGTGGGGTATTCATGTTAAACTGCGGCATGGTATCTCAGTGAGCTAGCACTATAAATCGGCATCAGTCCGGACTAGTACAAGCAGCCACACACACACATACACGTGCATGCACGTCGCTATATAAGTGCAATAATCTTGGACGCGACGTTAAACCCAATTTCACCTCACCTCACATCTTATGGTATGACTCGACCGGAGATCGAACCACCGATCTTTTGCTCTATCCGCTAGACCACTGAGAAAGTCTTTTCGTCTCTCTATATATATGAAGAGAAAATCGGTTAGAAAATTTACAGATTACAGATTGTCAGTCCCGAGTGAATTTGGTTGGTAAATGTTTAATCCTTATTCAAGAGGGACAACTAAATCCGTTATTACGGAGAGGTTATTCTATATATTACCTAAAGTCTTTCTTTTCTTTATGCATATGAATCAGAATTTCTACTCGGATTGGCAAAATCTAAAGAAAATAATTTGGCCAAGAGGTGGAAACCTTCCACTGATTTACCCACCTACAAATTAAAGGAGACCAGTGAGACCGCTTCATCTTTTTCATATTGAGATGCATGAAGATTCCGAGTGACAAAAACACTCTCAACAAGGCTGTATGACAAGAGGGGTGACTTCAACTTTCCAGTAGTCAACTTCTCTTTATGTCGAGCAAGAGTCCAGAAGCCCAAGCCCTTGGTGTCTACATTTCACAACTTATGAGGTACAATTGAGCATGCTCTTTCTTTCAAGATTTCAAAGACCGTCATACAACTCATGCTCAGAAGGTTTGATCAAGGTTACAACATCCAAGGCCTCAATAAAGCTTTCAAAAGTTTTATGGTAGACATGTAAAGGACATTTCCAAATTTGACGCATCAGTTACAAAAATGATATTAGATGCAATTCCCTATTTTGACTTGTACCATGTCTTGTCTCTGCATGTGGTTATGACGGGTGCTACAGGTGGAACATGATACGCTCACCTTTTGGCGAGCACCTGGTATCATCACTAACTGATAGTGATTCATAAACACATGATCATGATATAGTCGGAATCGTACAACTCTGCTTGTTGCAGAGATTTCTTATGAATGTGGAAAGGGTTTTGTCGCTTTTATTTCAATAAAACGTGGTTTCCTGATCTCACGTTGAGAAGACATCAGCGAAGCTAGTCGATTGCTGGAACGACGTCTAATTTTAAATTGTTTTTAATATAAAGAAAAATGAATGGTGCAATCTTCGTCCACATGACGTTATGGGCCTAACTGTGGAACTAGCCAATCAGCATGAAACAAATCTTCATGGGCCGCATAATCTTGTGACCAAATTACACTTGTCAGTAAAAACGTTAATATGCAAGATGGATGTATTTTTTGTGTCATATTCAACTTATAGTGCCGAGACTAAGGTAATACTTCTTTACTTATCCATGGCAATATTCTTAGAGAAATATTCTTGACTACTGGATCGTGAATTATAATTAGAAATTTAATATTATAAAATTATTATATTGTTGATGATGACGATAAAGACGACGACGATGATGATGATTTCAGTTTTTTTATAATTATAAGTAACCGACTGACGACGTAAAAAAGACACACGTACAGTATAACATCCCACTCACCCTATAAGAATCGAAGTTTTCGCCACTAAAATCTCTCCCGAATCATATGATATAATGAATATAATCACATCACCAAACTAACAAACTGTAGGACCAGAGGGGTACTAACATGCCAATAACCAGATTTTGTTCTCGCCACAATTCCATTGCTACGAAAGGCTGCTATTACTGGTTCCCGTGCACGTCGATATGGGAAATTAACAGTAAAACCTGCCTCCTTGTTTAGCGTTAATACTCGCATAGTCTCGCTTCCGTTGTCAGGAGTCTACAGAAGTAACGCTTTCACTCAACTGTTGCCAAGGACCCAATAACACATGTTGGATCTCGAAAATCGATTCTTTGACACGGTCACGCCATCGTTAATAGCTTTTATTGACAGAAAACATGAGACTGACTTTTTGCTCCGGACAGTGGTAAGTTTGGGACGTTATGTCATGTGGGTGTGCAGCCCCACCAGCCAGTTGGGGATTGCATCCATAGCACACCATACACTGGAATAAGACAGCCTACATCTCGGTTGGTAATATAAATGTTGTCATTAAGCTTCGTGGCTTTAAGCGTCTTGTGCTCCGTCTGTTGTTAATGACTGTTATATAGTAGCTGAAGTTACGTGCTGTTATATTGCTTTATAGTAACTTGCGATGTTGATTCATCTGTTGTGGTTTTGGTTATGCCATCTGTCGTAGAGTTGATTTGTGTTGTATTTTATTTGATTGTTTAAGTGGAACAGCAATGCCATTCAGACACCCGAGCGGGATGGCTATAGGATTCAGCCTTAGAGCCGATCATTTTATTTTGGGTGTGTAAGGGCAGAATGGATGTTGCATATGTAAAACAAAAGTAATTCGTTCATAAATTCGGGCTTCGTTTGTTTCCTGGAGAATTTTTCCTTGGCCCGGATCCTACTTTCACAGAAAATAATTTCACTGAAGACTTGACTCAAAAGGTATTCTGAGTATTCAAAAGGGCTGTTTGGCCGCGACATTTAAAACAGCCCCCAGCTTTGTTGGTAAACGAATATATTTCCTAAACGTTTTTCTTTACTTATAACTAACAAAACCTCTGCACTTGTACACAGCAGACGCTATTCAAAATTAACATATCGTTTTTATTTTCAACAAAGTATAAGTGCGCTGTGTCGCTGGATTTCTAGTCACTTGATTACTTGATTATCTGGCTTGTTTACAAGCCGCCGTCGCATGACAGGAGTACTGGCAACAAAAACTGTTACTTTCTCATGCAAATTGTGTGAGTGGCAGGTCTCCGGTAGGACAGGACATGCTAACCCTTTACGCCAACACCTGGTGTCATAACTGATTGTCAGTGATCAATTTATTTAATTTTAACCGCTATTTCTTCTTTTGTGCCCAATGGAATATGTTTCGGGTGATAATCGAGACAGGTTTCTCTCTGGCGTTGACGTTTTATATTCTCTAGCAATATTCGCACAAGTTTGCCGCGATGTTTACTGTTGAAACTCTTGTAAAGAATGTTATACTCACAATTGACGCGATCAAGATAACAACAAACGTTTCAGCAGTATCTTTATCTTAAATATTTAGAGTTCATACAATGGGGGTGTGGGGTGTGAGGGGTGTCGAAGCAGTAAAATCTTGTATTTCTGTGGACGTCTAAGCCGCATAATCAAATGTTGACACAAATTACAAAATATGAATTGTATCGATATTTTCCACTACAGACCAAATAGGCATTGTTAATTGTCTTGATTAGGCGGCTTACTGAATCGGGGGGTCAGACGCGGTGATTGCTGATTGAATGTCGTCGTTTCCCAATGGCGTGGATCAACGATGTTCATGAAACCAATCACTGGATCACTGGCGATGTTAAACAAAAAGGCATAAAAGCAAACAAAGAAACACACATGTACAGATCCATACATATCTGAGGATGTTAAAGAGGGGACTTCGATCGGGCAAATTGCCATTGCTGTCAAGTTTGAAGTATGTATTTCCAGCAGTTAATGCCCTAGTTCACACTTCATTACACAGAGACAAACTGTCCAATTACAACGTCTAAATCTATAATGGAAATCTTCAACGTGGTGTGGAGCTCCTATTCCTATAAACAAATGCTTTTTTTCTATTTCATCTCAAGCTGTATCTTTTTAACTATAGCAACTAACACGTGTATATCTATTATTCTATTCATTAACCATCTGTGTTAGATTACAACTCAATTGCCGGGCAAAAGAAAGTATACACTTGAATAAAGGATTTGGCATACAAACTGGATACAAACGTTATCAAAATGTAACAAGGCTGAAAACAGTCGCCGAAACGCTGCAAGCTTAAGGTACAAAACACAACTATGACACCGAGTGAAATACACCACAATCGAATAACCATTTCTTGTTTGTGTCATATAGCCACCATCAACCATGGGTGTATACGTCAGTTTATGACATATATAAGGCACGAATGGGAAAACCTATGACCGTTGTGAATGTTCAGACATTCGATTCGATATCTGCTTATCAAGGGAAACAGCGGGTTTGATTAGTCACGAACTCAGTCCATGAAAGTCAATATCAGAGTTAAGTGTCTGGGACCCGTTTCAGGAAGCAGTCTTAGCTCTCCGACTTCCTTAAGTCTGTCATATCGTCAACTATGAGAGTCACGACAGTCGTAGCGCTACGATCGCTTTGTGAAAGAGGGCCCTGTCCTCTTTCGAAATGAAACTGTAAATGTTAATTTGATGCTGTTGTGTCTAGTGCTATATAAATCATCATATATCTAAAGATGGCATTACAGTCCGTGAGATTACATCTCGTGGTAGACTAATCACCAAGATTCATGTCCACAAACTCGGTCAAAACTGTAATTTGGTGATTTTCCCCTTTTCCCCCCATACAATCACACAAACTATTCGAATCGAGATCAACCTTTAAGTTCCTATAAAGCAAGTTTGCCACCACTTTGCGTAATAAAAATAGCATTGTGTTACCAGTTAATAACAAGAGAGCTTGACAGGCACGCACGACTAGGTGCAGCCAATGTGCATGCAGATGTCTATTAGTGAACAGCCATTAACAGTAACACAGCACCGGCTCCGTGTGCGATCAATAGCTCAATAGTTCTTTGACAGAAGTAATTATACCAAACAGATCGTTTAGCCAACTTTCTTGCTATTCTGTGGCGTAAGTACGCATTAGAACGTATATGGGAGCTATTAGTGGGATTAATTAGATTGTATATTCATGTTTTGATTGTTCCGCGTGAAATAGAGCTTGTGCGAAGTTGGGGGTCTATTGCCTGGATGTTTTATGTGGGTAACTGTAATGGTGTATCTTTTCAAATGTACTGTTAATCCATAATAGCCTTGTGGATTACAGGACATGGTACAGACTCATGAGAGTTGACACGCAGAGCAGACATAGTAATGTAGAGATTGGACAATGTACAGCAAGAAATGTACAGATAGAGAAATGTACAGATAGATTGATAGATATATAGATGTACAGATTTGGTAATGTACAGATTGGGTAATGTACAGAAAGTAATGTACAGATAGAGTAATGTATAGATAGAGTAATGTATAGATAGAGTAATGTATAGATAGAGAAATGTATAGATAGAGTAATATACAGAAGGAGTAATGTACAGAAGGAGTAATGTACAGAACGGGCAATGTACAGAAGGAATAATGTGCAGAAGGAGTAATGTATAGATAGAGTAATGTATAGATAGAGTAATGTATAGATAGAGTAATGTACAGAAGGAGTAATGTACAGAAAGGGCAATGTACAGAAGGAATAATGTGCAGAAGGAGTAATGTATAGATAGAGTAATGTATAGATAGAGTAATGTACAGATAGAGTAATGTATAGATAGAGTAATGTACAGATAGAGTAATGTATAGATAGAGTAATGTATAGATAGAGTAATGTATAGATAGAGTAATGTATAGATAGAGTAATATACAGAAGGAGTAATGTATCGAAGGAGTAATGTAAAGAACGGGCAATGTACAGAAGGAATAATGTGCAGAAGGGGTAATGTATAGATAGAGTAATGTACAGAAGGAGTAATGTACAGAACGGGCAATGTACAGAAGGAATAATGTGCAGAAGGAGTAATGTATAGATAGAGTAATGTATAGATAGAGTAATGTACAGAAGGAGTAATGTACAGAAGGAGTAAAGTGCAGAAGGAATAATGTGCAGAAGGGGTAATGTATAGATATAGTAATGTATAGATAGAGTAATGTATAGATAGAGTAATGTACAGAAAGAGTAATGTACAGATAGAGTAATGTATAGAAAGAGTAATGTATAGATAGAGTAATGTACAGAAGGAGTAATGTACAAAAGGAGTAATGTACAGAACGGGCAATGTACAGAAGGAATAATGTGCAGAAGGAGTAATGTATAGATAGAGTAATGTACAGAAGGATTAATGTACAGATAGAGTAATGTACAGAACGGGCAATGTACAGAAGGAATAATGTGAAGAAGGAGTAATGTATAGATAGAGTAATGTATAGATAGAGTAATGTACAGAAGGATTAATGTACAGATAGAGTAATGTACAGAAAGAGTAATGTGCAGAAGGAATAATGTGCAGAAGGGGTAATGTATAGATAGAGTAATGTATAAATAGAGTAATGTACAGAAGGAGTAATGTACAGAACGGGCAATGTACAGAAGGAATAATGTGCAGAAGGAGTAATGTATAGATAGAGTAATGTATAGATAGAGTAATGTACAGATAGAGTAATGTACAGAAGGAGTAATGTGCAGAAGGAATAATGTGCAGAAGGGGTAATGTATAGATATAGTAATGTATAGATAGAGTAATGTATAGATAGAGTAATGTACAGAAAGAGTAATGTACAGATAGAGTAATGTATAGAAAGAGTAATGTATAGATAGAGTAATGTATAGATAGAGTAATGTATAGATAGAGAAATATACAGAAGGAGTAATGTACAAAAGGAGTAATGTACAGAACGGGCAATGTACAGAACGGGCAATGTACAGAAGGAATAATGTGCAAAGGAGTAATGTATAGATAGAGTAATGTACAGAAGGATTAATGTACAGATAGAGTAATGTACAGAAGGAGTAATGTGCAGAAGGAATAATGTGCAGAAGGGGTCATGTATAGATAGAGTAATGTATAGATAGAGTAATGTACAGAAGGAGTAATGTACAGAAGGAGTAATGTACAGAAAGGGCAATGTACAGAAGGAATAATGTGCAGAAGGAGTAATGTATAGATAGAGTAATGTACAGAAAGATTAATGTACAGAAGGAGTAATGTATAGAACGGGCAATGTACAGAAGGAATAATGTGCAGAAGGAATAATGTATAGATAGAGTAATGTACAGAATGAGTAATGTACAGATAGAGTTATGTACAGAAGGAGTAATGTACAGAAGGAATAATGTGCAGAAGGATTAATGTACAGAAGGAATAATGTGCAGAAGGAGCAATGTACAGATAGAGTAATGTACAGATAGGGTAATATACAGAAAGAGTAATGTACAGAAGGAGTAATGTACAGATAAAGTAATGTACAGATAGAGTAATGCACAGGAGTGGTGTACTGATAGAGTAATGTATAGATAGAGTAATGTACAGAAGGAGTAATGTACAGATAGAGTAATGTACAGAAGGAGTAATGTACAGAAGGAATAATGTGCAGAAGGAGTAATGTACAGATAGAGTAATGTACAGATAGAGTAATGTACAGATAGGGTAATGTACAGAAAGAGTAATTTACAGGAGTAATGTACAGATAGAGTAATGTACAGATAGAGTTATGCACAAGAGTGATGTACAGATAGAGTAATGTACATATAGAGTAATGCACAGATAGAGTAATGTACAAAAAGGGTAATGTGCAGAAAGAGTAATGTACAGATAGAGTAATGAACAGAAGGAGCAATGTATAGAACGGGCAATGTACAGAAGGGATAATGTGCAGAAGGAGTAATGTACAGATAGAGTAATGTACAGAAGGAATAATGTGCAGAAGGAGTAATGTATAGAAGGAATAATGTGCAGAAGGAGTTATTTACAGATCGAGTAATGTACAGATAGAGTAATGAACAGAAAGAGTGATTTCCAGGTAGAATAATGTACAGATAGAATAATCCACAGGAGTAATGTACATTTAGAGTAATGTACAGATAGAGTAATGTACAGATAAATAATGTACAGATAGAGTAATGAACAGAAGGAGCAATGTATAGAACGGGCAATATACAGAAGGAATAATGTGCAGAAAGAGTAAAGTACAGATAGAGTAATGTACAGAAGGAATAATGTGCAGAAGGAGTAATGTGCAGAAGGAGTAATGTGCAGAAGGAGTAATGTACAGATAGAGTAATGTACAGATAGAGTAATGAACAGAAAGAGTGATTTTCAGATGGAATTATGTACAGATAGAGTAATGCACAGGAGTAATGTACATTTAGAGTAATGTACAGATAGAGTAATATACAGATAGAGTAATGTACAGATAGAGTAATGTACAGATAAATAATGTACAGATAGAGTAATGCACAGGAGTAATGTACATATAGAGTAATATGCAGATAGAGTAATGTACAGATAGAGTAATGTACAGATAGAGTAAGGTACAGGAGTAATGTACATATAGAGTAATATGCAGATAGAGTAATGTACAGGTAGAGTAATGTAAAGATAGAGTAATGTACAGATAGAATAATGTACAGAAAGAGTGATGTACAGACAGAGTAATGTACAGAACGAGTAATGTACAGAACGAGTAATGTACAGATAGAGTAATGTACAGAAAGAGTAATGTACAGATAGAGTAATGTAGAGATAAGATAATGTCCAGAAAGAATAATGACAAGGACCTAACATTTAATATTATAAGGGGTGCGGGGGGTGCGGTCAGAGGGTCTGAAATGTTTGTGAGAGACAAGATGATATATTCGGTCTCTGTGATTGGTAGTAAAGCATTGTACAAATAATATATTTCTATATTGTGCCATAAACATGTGCATAAATGTCGTTTGTGCACTAGATATGTCAAAAAGTGGCATTTACTTTTTAGTATATTGCCTATAATGTGTCTTTTGTCACTTCCAACAGGCTCTCCCTTCATCTGGATGACACGGTGCTACTTTGGATGGCGAGAAAACAATACTCCACCATAAGGTAATTTAGTTCTTTCAAATTGTCACAAACAAAACAAATACAAATTGCAAAGGTGTTGTGAACGGGTCGTTTTGGTGACATTCTTGGATTATTTAGTGTGGGCATCCTCTTCAACTAAATGGGGAAATTTCAATTTCTGGTTAAGGTCCAGACGGGGTACATTCATATAAATTACCAAGATTACCGTTGTCATATGATATTGTGGGGTCCTTAATCGTTGATCTGACATTTAGCTACTCAGAGAGCGTTGCCGTCGGTCAGCTATGATCAATGCCTGTGACAGATCGGGGCCGGGGACAAAACGGGGATTACAGATCGATACAGATCAATACTCGATCATTAACATGGAATGCGGAACCATTTTATTTCTGACGGTTAGCTCCGTTTCATATGTTCAGATTTAATGATAAAACGCTTGACTTGGGCCGTTAATCAAAACATATAGGACCAGATCGAGTTTGGTGAGCCACGGATATCATATATCGTTTTCAATTCACACATTATTGTAATGATTTGATAGTTCGATGTAATTGGGTATGGTGTCCTTCATCATCTGTTGTGTCTGATTTTGTTCCTATGCTGTGTAATATTTTATAACAGAATTATTGATTTTACCTCCATAGGAAAGTCATAATAGATTAACCATTTAGGACTAATTAGAGGAAGAAGGTTTCTTTCTTTCTTTAGAGCCGCTTGGCTGTACTTGCTGTATCTGCCTTAACGGGTTTCCGGAGTAGTTTCTTTTATATAATTATTCGTTTCCATTGTTTTAATTATGTTCTTTTCTTGTGACAGTCACCAACATGTGTACATGTTAAATGCACTGGCGGTGTTGACAACCTATCATACAAATCACATATCTCATTTACAAATGAATGCATGTCACAAGATGTAAGAGTTACAAAGGAGATCTTTTATGTATGCCAGTAGCAAATACTTCAAACAATCCAGTGCGTTAAAAGGTCTGATTGTTTGTTGTTTAACGCCACACTCAGCAATATTCTAGCTATATTGGGGCGGTCTGTAAAAAATCGAGTCTGGGCCAGACAATCCAGTGATTGACATCATGAGCATCGATCTACGCATCAACCAAGTCATCGAGTCTGACCATCTGGTCCAGTTAGTCGCCTCTTACGACAAGCATAGTCACATTTTACGGCAAGCATGGGTTGCTGAAGACCTATTCTACCCCTACAATGTGTCAGTAGCACCTGTCACTCACACAATTTTCAGCAAAAGGTAAGTGTTCGTTTGTTGCCTAACCCCACAGTCTACACTATTCCTGTCATCCAGTGACATGAAAAGCGCGATGGGTGCCGCCGGTAGACTAAGAGCAGTCGTTGAAATATTCTAATGGGGTTTATTACTTTATTCCAGTGGCTTGCAAACACGAAGAAACGCCCCTACAGCTTTGACGACATTGTTTGCACACAGACACAATCCTCAGACGACTGTTACCAACAGTGATTGTCTCCTCAGGGTCAACATGAAGAGATGACATTGCAGCTATGGGTTTTCCTCACGGTCTCCCTTGCCACACTGACGTACCATATTAACAAAGGCAAGTGTCAAGCGGGTGCTGGAAAGGATGAGGTAGTATGAGAGCCTTTTTTGTCCATTGGAAATGTCAGATTTTAAAGTTGAAATATTTGAGTCAATCATGTTGAAATTGCTGACAACTAGCACTTTTCCTTTCTTGCACTTACAAGTTTTGGAGTTCTGAAACGATTAAATATGTATTATAAGGATTGCTAAATGAGAGAAAAGGGCCGATATTGCTTCATCTGAGCATCCAAGTGTGAGTAAGTAAGTTTTGATCCCGTGTAATGTACGTGTCCCATGTGAAGCCGAAGTAAGTTTAGATGCTGTGTAATGTACGTGCCCTACGTGAAGCCGAAGTAAGTTTTGATCCCGTGTAATGTACGTGCCCTACGTGAAGCCGAAGTAAGTTTAGATCCTGTGTAATGTACGTGCCCTACGTGAAGCCGTAGTATGTTTAGATGCTGTGCAATGTACGTGACCTTCGTAAAGCCGTTGTAAGTTTAGATCCTGTGTAATGTACGTGTGCTACGTGAAGCCATACTAGTAAGTTTAGTTACTGTGTAATGCACGTGACTACGTGAAGCTGTAGTAAAATCCGATCCTGTGTAATGTATGTATCTAACGTGAAGCTGTAGTAAGTTTAGTTCCTGTGTAATGTGCGTGTCCTGGAAGAAGCCATAGTTAGTTTAGATAGTATTACTGTGTAATGTACGTGCCCTACGTGAAGCCGTAGTATGTTTAGATGCTGTGCAATGTACGTGACCTTCGTAAAGCCGTTGTAAGTTTAGATCCTATGTAATGTACGTGTGCTACGTGAAGCCATACTAGTAAGTTTAGTTACTGTGTAATGCACGTGTCTACGTGAAGCTGTAGTAAAATCCGATCCTGTGTAATGTGCGTGTCCTGGAAGAAGCCATAGTAAGTTTAGATAGTATTACTGTGTAATGTACGTTTCCTACGTGAAGCCTAGTACGTTTAGATCCTATGTAATGTACGTGTGCTACGTGAAGCCGCAGTACGTTTAGATCCTATTTAATGTACGTGTGCTACGTGAAGCTTCAGTACGTTTAGATCCTATGTAATGTACGTGTCTACGTGAAGCCGTAGTACGTTTAGATCCTGTGTAATGTATGTGTTCACTTTCAGTGAAGTGTTGTCTAAACGAAGCGGAAAGTCTCACAGCTCAGCTCTACAAACAAGGCATTGTGTACCCCGATATGGATTCCCTAAGAAACGGGTAGGTAATAACACTCTCTGGCTGACACAATGAACTACATAGTTTCTGAAACCCCAATTGAAAGAAATGTGAATGTGTAATATTAAAAGAAAATATATCGCAGATGATGAATACATGATAATAAAATTATAAAAAACAGAATTGCTACAACCATTTCGAGATAAACAAAAAATAGTGAACACTTAGTATCAGCAGTGTAGATATTCCTAGACCACTTACAGTCTAGATATTACCAGGGCACCAGCAGTCTAGGCATCACCGGGTCACCTGCAGTGCAGGCATCACCAAGACAACTGTAGTCTAGACAACGCCAGACTACATGCAGTCTAGACATCACTAAGACAACTGCAATCTAGACATCACTAGGCAACCAGCAGTCTAGGCAACACCAGGCCAACTGTAGTCTAGTCATCACTAGGCCACCTGCAGTCTAGACATCACTAGGCCACCAGCAATCTAGACATCACTAGGCCACCAGCAGTCTAGACATCACTAGGCCACCTGCAGTCTAGACATCACTAGCCACCAGCAATCTAGACACACTAGGCCACCAGCAGTCTAGACATCACTAGTCAACCTGCAGTCTACACATCGCTTGGCCACCTGCAGTCTAGACATCACTAAGACAACTGCGATCTAGACATCACTAGGCAACCAGCAGTCTAGGCAACACCAGGCCAACTGTAGTCTGGACAACACCAGGCTACATGCAGTCTAGACATCACCAAGACAACTGCAATCTAGACATCACTAGGCCACCAGCAGTCTAGACATCACTAGGCCACCAGCAATCTAGACATCACTAAGACAACTGCAATCTAGACATCACTAGGCCACCAGCAGTCTAGACATCACTAGTCAACCTGCAGTCTACACATCGCTTGGCCACCTGCAGTCTAGACATCACTAAGACAACTGCAATCTAGACATCACTAGGCAACCAGCAGTCTAGGCAACACCAGGCCAACTGTAGTCTGGACAACACCAGGCTACATGCAGTCTAGACATCACCAAGACAACTGCAATCTAGACATCACTAGGCCACCAGCAGTCTAGACATCACTAGGCCACTAGCAATCTAGACATCACTAAGACAACTGCAATCTAGACATCACTAGGCCACCAGCAGTCTAGACATCACTAGTCAACCTGCAGTCTACACATCGCTTGGCCACCTGCAGTCTAGACATCACTAAGACAACTGCAATCTAGACATCACCGGCCACCTGCAGTCTATACATCACCTACCACCTGCAGTCTAGACATCACTAGGCCACCAGCAGTCTAGACATCACCAAGACAACTGCAATCTAGACATCCTCAGGCCACCTGCAGTCTACACATCGCCTGGCCACCTGCAGTCTAGACATCACTAAGACAACTGCAATCTAGACATCACTAGGCCACCAGCAGTCTAGACATCACTAGGCCACCAGCAATCTATACATCACTAGGCCACCAGCAGTCTAGACATCACTATTCAACCTGCAGTCTACACATTGCTTGGCCATTTGCAGTCTAGACATCACTAAGGCAACTGCAATCTAGACATCACTAGGCCACCAGCAGTCTAGACATCACTAGTCAACCTGCAGTCTACACATTGCTTGGCCACCTGCAGTCTAGACATCACTAAGACAACTGCAATCTAGACATCACCGGCCACCTGCAGTCTAGACATCACCTACCACCTGCAATCCAGACATCACTAGGCCACCAGCAGTCTAGACATCACCGGCCACCTGCAGTCTAGACATCACTAGGCCACCTGCAGTCTAGACATCACTAGGCCACCAGCAATCTAGACATCACTAGGCCACCTGCAATCTAGACATCACTAGGCCACCTGCAATCTAGACATCACTAGGCAACCAGCAGTCTAGACATCACTGGCCACCTGCAGTCTAGACATCACTAGGCCACCTGCAGTCTAGACATCACCAAGACAACTGCAATCTAGACATCACTAGGCCACCAGCAGTCTAGACATCACTAGGCCACCAGCAATCTAGACATCACTAAGACAACTGCAATCTAGACATCACTAGGCCACCAGCAGTCTAGACATCACTAGTCAACCTGCAATCTACACATCGCTTGGCCACCTGCAGTCTAGACATCACTAAGACAACTGCAATCTAGACATCACTAGGCAACCAGCAGTCTAGGCAACACCAGGCCAACTGTAGTCTGGACAACACCAGGCTACATGCAGTCTAGACATCACCAAGACAACTGCAATCTAGACATCACTAGGCCACCAGCAGTCTAGACATCACTAGGCCACCAGCAATCTAGACATCACTAAGACAACTGCAATCTAGACATCACTAGGCCACCAGCAGTCTAGACATCACTAGTCAACCTGCAGTCTACACATTGCTTGGCCACCTGCAGTCTAGACATCACTAAGACAACTGCAATCTAGTCATCACCGGCCACCTGCAGTCTAGACATCACCTACCACCTGCAATCTAGACATCACTAGGCCACCAGCAGTCTAGACATCACCGGCCACCTGCAGTCTAGACATCACTAGGCCGACAGCAATCTAGACATCACTAGGCCACCTGCAGTCTAGACATCACCTACCACCTGCAATCTAGACATCACTAGGCCACCAGCAGTCTAGACATCACCGGCCACCTGCAATCTAGACATCACTAGGCCACCTGCAGTCTAGACATCACTAGGCCACCAGCAATCTAGACATCACTAGGCCACCAGCAGTCTAGACATCACTAGGCAACAAGCAGTCTAGACATCACTAGGCCACCTGCAGTCTAGACATCACTAGGCCATCAGCAATATAGACATCACTAGACCACCTGCAGTCTAGACATCACCGGCCACCTGCAGTCTAGACATCACGAGTCAACCAGCAGAATGAACATCATTAGGCCCTGTTTAGAACTATATAACCCGTCCTTGTTTTATAAATAGTATTGTGTACATAATAATTGACAAAAGAAATCATCTGTCAACAGCATAGCTATAATCACATTTGGGGTAGTTGAAGTATACATATGTAAATCGATTATGTACTAGATATATGCGTTTCAACTGAAATCATCCTTCAGTGCTCCGCAGAGGTGTTCCTGGGTGATATCCTCGCAGAGAGCCAATGACGTCATCCGGTTCCACATCACTGATTGGTTCGGCCCCGCCTCCCACAGTTGTACTAGGGATTACATGGTTGTTAAAGATGGTACGGAGAGCTATTTGTGTCATCGTTTTTCACGATTTAAAATATTGCTTTGTGACCATTGTTTTACATAAGGAAGGAGCTTTTGCTGGGGTTGTGTTGAAAGGACATTAGAGTGGTCCAACCATCCACCAAATAAAATCCTCAGGCACCAACCATATAATTTACGGTGTGTAGGGTTTGGTGGATGTGTGTGTGTGTGGGGGGGGGGGGGGGGGCTGTGTGTTTAAGGCAGAAAAAAATTCAGTCAGCGCTTCAACACATACGCTTATATATGAGAGACGGGGCTTTGTGGCGTTGGACAGGAAATGGACAAACGAACAAGCAAACCTATTCTAGCAATTTTAAGAACATGTTGTTTTTTCCTTTCCATATAATGTTTAGTCCCTGCGATGCATTACAATGTGGTACAAACTGTGTTCTATGCATGGAGAGTAGGGAGTTCACTTGAACGGTATACAGACCCCTTTAGAACGTCAAGACAAAGAGTTTAGTTTCCGTACGTATTGAATAAAACTAACTGTCTGGTATGTTTATGCCCATGTTGAGTGAGTGAGTGAGTATGGATTTACGCCGCTTTTAGCAATATTCCAGCAATATCACGACGGGGGACACCAGAAATGAGCTTCACACATTGTACCCATGTTGGGAATCGAACCCAGGTCTTCGGCGTGACGAGCGAACGCTTTAACCACTAGGCTACCCGACCATGTTGAAGATATATAAATGCCACACAAGGCTTGTGGACAGACGTGAACGCAGAACGACCTTTTCGTATATATAATTCCCCCGTCCTCGGTAATGTTCACAGCCCACGTCTTGCCACCCGCAATATATCAACAGATTATGTCAGGAGATATTTGTGTAGAACTGCAAACTGAACAGCACACTGGCCAACGATTATTATGATCAATAAATGTCTAGCATAAGAGTGCTGTTAAATGATTACAGCATCTCCATTTGTTTGACCAATGATCCAAGTTATTGTTGTCCAGCCCAGTGTGGACCTTATATTACACTTGCACAAAGTAATTGTGTTGACATACAGGTAACGGCCTGCTTCTGTTCATGCCTCGGAGCAGTATAAGTGTGCGTTGGGGATACCTTACCTCACACTGAAGGTCGCACTTCATTAAACGTAAGAGTTGTCAAGAAAGAAGGACGTTCCGCGAAGAGGGAAATTCCCAATTGCGTAGATCTACAACATGCTGTGTTAACCCGAGACAGACAATAAGTGCTTGTTGTGATAGCTGGAGAAGCATATGTGAATAAGGAAGCGAGTTTTTTAACATAGGTGTATAAAGCATAGGATCAAGGATCAAATAATAGGATTTGCCAAGGAATCTGCTCGTAAGTATTGTTTGCATAAACCTGACGTTGGTTGTTTACTTGGAGTTTCGGGTAGGAGGGGACTTGAACGATCATCTGAATGAAGGGATTACAAAGTTAATCAAAGAGATTGGTCCATATTCAGACCAGCGTATCGACGGTTTCTGAATCGCAATATTCATGGTTTTCATATCAATCTGTCATCGTCAGCATTAAATATATCTATGGCAAAGCATGCCGCCATTTTGGGATGAAAATAGAAAATAAAACTTACGACAGGTATGGAGCTTTCTTAAAATTTATGACATTCTTAATATATATTTACGAGGTCTACGACAGTTTTGAAAACAGGCTACGACAGTGTACGATTTCCTTTCGATAGCTTTAATCTTAGCCCTAAGGTCGTTTAAAAAATCGAGAGCCTGAAAAATAAGCTGTAGATACTATGACCCACAGAATGCGATGTAATCAGCCAGGATATAGTAACATGTAAAAGAAATTAATTCCAAAAGATAACAAACATAGTATTTATTATTTGTTTCTTGATTATTATTTTTTTGCCATTGATAAACGTATAGAAACATTATTGTTTGTATTGTTAATTCTTAAATTTGATTGTTAGAAAACAAAATGAGAAAACTGAAGTTAACATTAAACAATGGTATGATCCCATCTGCCCCCACAGGTCCTAGCCCCCTGAGCCCCAGTCTGAGGGTGGTGTGCGGGGACACACATTTCAAGGGAAACGTCACCTCGACTTTCGGGGCCATCTATATCCAGTTCCACGTGCAGGTGGACGATGCCAGCAGAGGATTTGCACTGGAGTACTGGAGTGTCGACAACAGTAGGTAACATTGGGCTTGTTCTTCGTCCACACATTGCAGAGCGTGTAATATGTCGTGTCGGTAAAACGTTACTTTAAAGCAGTGACGGAATAATATAAACGACACACATCTCCTTTTGGCTAATCATCCCTGCATGATCGGGGCCCAGTGCAGTAGATTTACACACCTGTAACAAGGGCGGATCCAGCATTTTAAAAAGGGAGGGGTCAAAAATACCAAAATATCAAACCTCTATCAGTTTGTGTGTGTTTTGTTTTTGTTGTTTTGTTTTATTTGTGTGGTTTTTGTTGTTGTTTTTGTTGTTGTTGTTGTTTTATTTATTTATTTTTTTATTTTTTTTTGGGGGGGGGAGGTAGTGTCATTTGGTTTTCATTGGGGTTCCCCCCTGAGGATCGTCAGTTAGTCGCATCCAGACCAGCACTGGACCCTACATCTCGCGCTCACCGACTGCCATGGAGTCAATCCCCGACACGAATGGCAGGGCCTTCCTCTGTCCCTTTGTAAATAAAAGAAACAAAACCATTTCCATTATCACCAGAAATCTCAGAAAAGCGGACTCCGCTGTACGATTCCGAACGTTTCATAACCATGAGAGTCGTTAACTAAAACCCATGGCATACACCCTTCACCCAGGACCCTACACCCTATAGTTACACCCTACACACAAGACCCTAAATTCCCGGAGGGGGCGCGTTGGGGGTGTGTGGGTAAGGGAGGGTGTGTTGGGGCCAGGAAAGCGATAGGAACCCACATTGCGGTCCATACTTTCAGTCCGACCGCTGTCAGTTAGCGGGTAGCCAAGCTATTAAGAAAGGCCTTGACTTAATTGCCTCTACTGTCAGTCAGTTCCAATGGCAATATAGAGCCAAAAGAATATTAGTGAGTGAGTGAGTTGGGTTTAACGCCGCTTTTAACAAAATTCCAGTTATATTGCGGCGTGACAGCTTAATGTGGGAGGAAAGCCCGAAGTGATGCAGGTCTCAGACGTTTACCACTTCGGTGAAACCCACGAGCACGGGTATGGTGCTGACAAACCTAGAAACATAATCGGGGTGAACCGGGATTCGAACCCACAATCATAGGTTTCTGGCGTGCCCAAGGGACGCAACTCTGCACAGCGAATCGCGGCGCCTTTGACGACTGGGCCACCCGTGCCCCCTCAAAAGAATATTAAGATAGTTTACACAATCTTGGAATAGGAGATCATGTGAATAAATAAATAAGTGGCTACAATTGCGCATAGATGTCAGTTACAGAAGCGATATGTGTTGCACGAATTCATGAACATGTATTATGAAGATAGAAAGTCAATCAGCGTCATGTGCTTGAGTACTTATATACTGAGGAAAACAAATAAGGGAACACATGAAAATACAAGTGCTCCTTTATTGTTTTCCAGGTTTTGTTCACAAGCTATGGATGTCACTGTGGGTAAAAATCTGGGAATAAATAAAGGGACACTGCAATGAAATGGTGTTCCCTTATTTGTTTCCCTCAGTATATTAAGGAGTGTAGCTGCTGGCGGCATGTTGATTGCAAGTGACCGACATAATCCGCTTACCCAGACTTCCCTGCGGTTTGTACAGTATCCGCCGCTGACAATGTGGGGAAATGTTCACGTCAATCACTGTGAATAATAGTGGAGCCACAATACGGCTCACTGCCTCTTTATGCGCTAGTCAGACAGCGGATATTACAATGTATTGATATTTCACGAACGAAAACGCTGTAGTGAAAAATGACTGATATATAATTAATTCATGCTTATTGCGGCTAATAATTTTTGGGGCTTTCTCTGTCAATAGATTTTTCGTTTGCACTTTAAATGCGAATTATGATAAACAACAGATAATATCAAGGGGATAAGCGTACGTTGGAGCGTTATTATTTATGAATATATAAGTGGCGATAAATAAAGAGGTTATGTTTCATAATTTACATTTTACTTTCAATTTTGAATCCAAGCTCCAACATTCCGTTTAACCGTTAGATTTCATTTTTTTCTTCCAAATCCTTTTATCACGCTGAGTAATTATGTTTTTTAATTACGTCTATCTTCATCCATTCCTACTTGATTCACAGAAAAAAATCCATTCATAGAAATATTAGTTAATGGTTCTTATTGTCCAAGAGTCTGTCATGTTTCTTGAGCATATTATTTTCAGCATTCTGGCATTTTTTTTATCGCCAAACATCTACACGTAATCATTTTTATGTCTATAATTTCTTCACTTACGTGTTAATGCCACATTGTGTCATAGTAGTACTCATTCATTCAAATGATGTCATAATAAAATTTTCATTTTGTATAATGCGCTAAAACTCTTGCTATGGTTGAGCGTCAGATCTAATAAAAAAAACGGATACATGTGAAATTGACGTATTTTTATTTCCAACCTGGCTCTATGGATGAAAATGGGCGCTACAATTTTCTGAGATCGGATATTTTTAACATGGACGTATGATTGTCGTAGCTCCCATTATGTAACTTAGACGTACGATTGCCGCAGCTCCCATATTATAACATAGACGTATGATTGCCGTAGTTCCCATTATGTAACACATACATACGATTGTCTTAGATCCAATAGTTAAAAATGGGCGTACGATGGTTGTAGATCCTATAGTTTGACATAGACATACCATTGTCGTAGCTCCCATAGTTTAACATGGACGTACGATTGACTTAGAGCTCTCTCACAGCTGAAACTATACGTACGATTGTCGTAGTTCTCACAGTAAACCTTTCGTCACTGAATTTCAGTGATCCATTCATATAATTTTCACCGCCATTTTGCCTTTTACGCCCAGTGGAATCTGTGTCTGGGTAATCGAGATTTTTCACTCGCGTTGACGTTTTATATCAACATGAGTGAGTGAATATGGTTTTACGCCGCTTAACAATATTCCAGCAATATCACGGCGGGGGACACCAGAAATGGGCTTCACACGTACCCATGTCGGGAATCGAACCCAGGTCTTCGGCGTGACGAGCGAACGCTTTAACCACAAGGCTACCCGACCGCCCCTATATTAACATGACAGCACGATTGTCGTAGTTCATATAGTTTAATAAAGACGTACTAGGATCGTTTTGTAGAAACGACATAAACTGTTCCAGAAAAATCTCAAATATCAGATTAGCAAAAGCACGCTATAGCCCAAGCTAGATAACGTCAATACACGTATTAATGACCAATGTTCCAAGTAAAACGTTAACTGTGTAGGAGGTAAAATGGCCAAATTGCCTCATTCGTTGACGTGGACCATCAATCGTGACATCCTTGTGGTTGATACGCAGATTTCCACCACGCTCCGCACAGCGGTGTATTGTTACCTATTTAAAACATAACGAATGTGTCAAGCGCTGCTGTGAAGCTTTTCGCTTCGTTGCTGACTTTATTGTTTTATAATATGCATACTTGTCGAGATATGCGCTAATATCCTGAAGCGTTAAAGATATCTGTGGGTGTTTTCAACAACTGAAATAGAATTTTCTTTTACAAATATATAATCTTGCAACTGTTAGTCGAGGGGGACAGGAGGAAGGAATGATAACGTCATACCATGACAACGTGGACCAACCCTCAAATACAATGTAGACCCTATTCTTCCTCATTCAACTCACAGTGTCATGTCCCTTAGTTGTGCCAGGATCTTATGATCGTGGTTCCGACTCAGTGTTTTGCCCTTATGATTTATTGTTTGTCGAAATAGCACACGGTCCGGTCTCGTAGGTGGTGAACGTTTAAGACCTCTGTATTATCGGGCTTTTCCTCACAGCAAGCAGACATATCGCGATAAAACTGAAATAGCCTTCAAAGTCGCTTTGACCCGTGAAGACCCGGATAACGAACAGATCTTCAGCAACCCATGCCTGTCGTAAGAGGCGACTATGCTTGTCGGGATCAGGTGGTCAGGCTCGCTGACTGGGTTGATGCACGTCATCGTATCCCAATTGCGTAGATCGGTGCTCATGATGTCAATCACTGGATGATTTAATGATCCAGGCCGATTATTTCCAGATCGCTATCAAATAGCTGGAATATTGCTAAGTGTGGCGTTAAACAACAAACAAACATCAATGAGGTTTTCAATCCAACTTACGCCTTCACGTTATCACGCCCAGTGTTTGATAAAGGCTTTCTTTTCACTCTATCCACAGGCCCCATCATGAACAAGCCCCCTGTATATGGCACAGCCAACTACATCCTAATATTCGTCAGTGTGGCCGTCACGGCGACGTTCCTTGGGGGACTGACGTACCTGTTCTACCGGGAGAAGTCCAGGGAAAGAGCGGTCAAAGCCGGCAAAATGAAACAGATGTTACAACGGAGGAGGCAGGGTATCAGCGGTATATCGGGGCTAGAAGATTCCGGTGTGGAACAGGGAGATGATTTCGAAACAAGCAAAACGGATGTGACGTCATTTGTGGAAACACCGTCCCCAGCCTCGAGTAATTGGAAAGTGTGAAAACTGTGTTTGCATTGAATACACTATGTTTGCTAAATCAGCATTAAACAAACAAGAAGTCAGAAACATTAGAAAGTGTCTGACGCAGTGCCTTCTGCGGGTACATGGATTTCAAATACTATCGGCAAACGACTTTCGCCTTACGTGATAATTATTTGTCCGAAAACATTGATGAATGGAAACAAACAAATATTTTGTCGAAGGATATGTATGTGTGGGTTGTCAAACTTTGTCGACTATTCCACTAGGGTTAATTATACTACTAAAAAAAGCAAGCTTTGTCGACAGCACCATATCCGTGCCCGAGGGTTGCGCGGCAAGGTGAAAAACGTCTCAGATTGAGCTCCAACACCATGCTGACACGCATGAAGTAACTGATATACTGTTCAAATCAGCCTTAAGAAAAACCAATCAACGTGGTCGTGCATGCTTTAACTGAATGACAAGGCGCGTACTTTAGTTACACTGACACAATGACCGATGGGAGTGAAGAACGAAATGTAACAGCAGTCTGTACTTATATGGTTAAAATGGAAAAAATGTGCTTTGTTCATGGCGTGTTCGCATTCCTCACAAGTGTACATGGAGAACGACGTTTCAAATTTATGTGTATTTTGAAGACAGGAATACGTCTTCCTCTGATGAAAAATATTATATTATTTTATTTCGTTTTATTTTAGTCCTTTTTTTCTGCAAAGCCTTAATTCATTTTGATCCCATCCATGTTGTGCAATCCATGTTTGCAAGGCAAGCTTTGTTGTAAGACGCTTGAAGTTTCCTACCAAACAGGGACAGGGGGCAATTTAGAAAACAAATAATAGGGTGACGTACTGGCACATAAATCGTATTGCAATATATCGCAATAGGGAGAGCCGTGTTGCGATACATAATGGGGCCCCAATAATATACATCTGTGCTGTTCTTATTGTACTTTCATTCAATAATCCAGACTTCAGATTGCGAGATGGGTAGTATGGATAAACGAGACTACCTATAATGTCATAAATATCGAATGTTCATGTAAACATCGTGGAGCATGTGCTGTTTACATGGTTTAGGTAGGAACCCAGTCGATCCAAATGCCTCAAGAAAGTAGATATTATTTACATAATTATATGCTAATTCTTCTGTGACTAGTGGAAAATATCAATACGCAAAGTTTGTATTGCAATACGTGTATTTCTGAAGGCCTAGCAAATAACTAAATTGGTGTTGGCTGTATTTTCTTAATTGACGAATTAAATTTGAAATTCATACAAAGAAATATTTATCAAGTTTTTTCTTTCTCCAGTATGGAATGTGATTGTCTTATCCGGAGAAATGGTTTACAGTTTGTTTGAAAAACAAATCCAGACGAGAATGTTCCATACTATCTTGTAATTAAGTTTGATTTGCCATCTCTTCAATTCTTTGTGATGAAGCCATTACCTTACTTCAGAGAGTTTATATAATGCCTCTAGTTCTCATGGCTGAATATTGAATTTATTATCTTCTATTTAAAACATCGGAGGTCACATGGCGTCAACGTGGGTTTTTTTACGGAAATACAATCCATGTTGCTTAAGTGCATCAACGAAACATTACTAAAGGAACAGAAGCTAACCTTTATTCAGCGAGTATGGATGATGTGTTGAACCACCTGATTTGTCCCCAAACCTACATACTATCCAACACTTGGATTTATTAAATGACTATACAATATGACTCGATTATATTTGTCAAGTTGTGTTTGTTGTTCTTCGCGGCAGTCATCAAATGTCCAGCATTCTTTCAGCTATATGACGGCGGTCTGTAAATAATCGAGTCTGAACCAGACAATCCAGCGACTGATATCATGAGCATTGATCCACGCAATTGGGATACGATGACATGCATCAACCAAGTCAGCGAGCCTGACCACCCTATCAAGTTAGTCGCCTCTTGCGACAAGCATAGTCGCCTTTTACAGTAAGCGTGGATTGCTGAAGACCTATTCTACCCCGGATCTGACCTCCAGTAATGTCAACTAAAGTTATGATCAAAACTCAAAGATCGACAGAAATTGCACATTTTATTACAAAATCCATATATACAAAGTTGACACAAATAACTGCTACCCCCCCCCCCCCCCCCCCCCCCCCCAGCTTCTTCATTTCTTCACATAAATAGTAATAAAATGCAAGTGATTCCAAGGCATATGATTGGCTGAACAATCAGGGTTTTTTCCATTATGTTCTCATAAACCAAAAAAAGGCTATGCCCGCCACTAGACTACTGTTTCTTGACTTGCTGATATTAAATATGGTGAGCGGGTCTTGTGTTGTATTATTTCACTTAATGGTGTCTCTGATTGTCTACAGGTGTTGTTTTTTAATGCTTAAATTGCAGTTTGTGAAGTTACTATTTTTGAATTATTTATTAATAACAGAGCTCCAGAAAAGCTTTTGTTGTTGTGGGTATTTTACCCATGCATTTTAAAATCATTGGGTATCAGTAATTCTATCTGGGTACTCAAATTTCTGTTACCCACTAGTTTTTACACATGTGGGTATTTAAGTTAAATATTTAAAAACACTATTCATCTAGTCCCTGCAAACTGGTGTCGTGTGGGTTCAAGAGCTTTATAGGACTAAAATATACCACGATACTTCCACAAGAAAGTGTGATGGCAAATGATCATGATGTAACTGTCATCGTGAAGTTTGGCAAGGTTGACGGAATGTCCGTTTATAATTTCAAAATAAGTTGCTGATTTACTAATCGAATACGCAGGGTTACTTCACAATATTTTGATGATACGCACAAGTGTTATTTTTGTAGCGAATCTGTAATGTTCGTTGCGTATTTGATACGCTTGGATTTTATTTTACTGTGCATTTCTGCATTTTTTATGCGTATTTTACGCAGATACACAGCTTATCTGGAGCTCTGATAATAAGAATTGAATTCAATATATTTTGCACATATAGAGTCATTCATGTAGGAACCGGTATGCACAAATTGCGTAAATCTGTGTGTGAACACTTGTTTTTATGTTTATACCTCCATAAATACAAAAATATATCAAATCATAAGTATTTAAGGTATACTGAAAATGTTATGGCATATGACAAATCTCCTATACTACCACCTGCTAAACCAGTCCCAGGGATGTCTACATGACTTTTCTTACATGCTTAGAAGTCAAAGAGAAAGAAAAAAGAACTTTACAAATGAAAACAACATTAACACCAATATTGATATGAATTATGAAAACAATACATGCCATAATCAGTAACTGCAACACATCTTATTAAATGAGAATGCATTTTGTTTTAAATTGAGGTTTATCCCAAAAATAAACGAGTGAAAGGGTGAAAATGATCGGATTAAGAGAGATAATGGTCGAGAGTGAGTGAGTGAGTGACATTTACCACTTTAGTGAAACCCAAAAGCATGGGGCTGACAAACCTAGAAACATAATTAGGACAAACCGGGATTCGAACCCACAATCACTGGTTTCTGGCTGGCCCAAGGGACATAAGTCTGCACAGAGAAATGTGGCGCCTTAGACGAGTGGGACCCATATGTGTTGAGAAGATACTGTAATGTGGATATTGGTCAACAAGGTCAGCTGTAAACTACAGTATTTCCAAACAAAAGCTGACATCTTTTGAGGAAAAGACCCACAGCTAAAACTACTTATTTCTCAGCATTACATTTGCATATAATAAAGTTAGAATGTGTTCTTTAATGGCCCTAATCAATGAATGGAACCTGAGCCAGGCCCTAACAGAGATGGCAAACCAATACAGGCAATAAGAAATATCTGGGATCTGGGATCATAATTAGTGAGTGAGTGAGTTGGGTTTAACGCCACTTTTAACAGTAGTCCAGTTATATCATGGCGTGTCAGCTTAATGTGGGAGGAAAGCACGAAGTGATGCAGGTCTCAGACGTTTACCACTTCGTTGAAACCCACGAGCACGGGTATGGTGCTGACAAACCTAGAAACATAATCGGGGCGAACCGGGATTCGAACCCACAATCATAGGTTTCTGGCGTGCCAAAGTTACACAACTCTGCACAGCAAATCGCGGCGCCTTAGACAACTGGGCCAACTGTGCCCCCGGGTCATAATTAGAAATCATAAACAGCAGATAGTTTTTAAAAAAAATCATCTTTTGCATATTGCACTTTTACTTTTCAACACAAGTTAAACAAGTGATTATCAGTTGGTTGTATATTTCTGACAATGCCTGTATCAATAACTGGTCTCAGACTCAGAGGTATAACTATTATACATTTGTATGATGCACAGCAGTGTGTGTCTAGTAAGCGCAAATGTATAGAATGGACGCAGAAATAAAACAATATTTCATTCCGAGGGACGCATGATAATATTCATTGTACCCAATTCTTGAAACAAATATAAAGGGCTTGTAATTAAAGTAATTGTTAAATGTAACAATACCCCCTAGATTTTTTTCAGTCTGACATCTATTTCATCTTGACATGTTCGACATGATAGCAATATGATCAGATATCTCTCAAACAATAATATTTTTTAAGTTTGGGTAATTCCTACCAAATATTATTACAGATTATGACTTCAATGTGTTACTTTACCGGTCATACATTATAGTTACTATAGTCATTATGAACATCATTAACTCTCATCTGCCATATTGTTCTCAGTATTAAATGAAACATGAGAAATGAATTCCTAAATCATCCATATAGCCAACAGTTAATTCATCTCCATATACATGTATGATGAGAAATGGTACAAATTTCAAAAAATGAAACATAAATATTTTGGTAAATAAAGCCATTCACTCATTGACATTACACCAAATGAAAGATGTATTCCCACCCATGTATCAATACTGGGTCATTTACAAAGTACAAGATGCAAATCCCTAAAAGATATCCAAATATGTACACAGGAGAACTGTCTGTTATTCTCTCTTGAAGGGTGGTAGTGGCTTGGCGTCTTCTGTCCATGCTACATATATAAACATGAAGAGGATGATGTGCACCACAACGATGGAGACTATTGCAGCGTAGAAGTAGCTGCTCTCGTGACGCATCCCAAATGCACCTGGAAACACAAACAGTGAGAATAAAACACATGACACACAGTCACCTGATGAGCAGCATCAATAGGCTATCAATATTATCTTCATTTCCACGGAGCCAAGAAAGCTGACATACAGAGTTGTGTCCCTTAGCTGCCACAATCTGCCAACACTGGTAAAGATGAAAGGACCAACTGATTGACCACAATGTAAATCTTATCGCTGCTCAGTTGCAGACGTAACGTGTATGCAAGACTGCCTACAGTCTCTTGTGTGCAAGGTCTGTAGTACTCAGAGAAGAGCTTGATCACCATGACTGGCCTTTTAAAGTGAGACCCCAGTGAGTGTGATTAAGGCGTCCCCTTAAATCCCCCAAGCATGATAATTATTGTCAATCACAAATGACCCAGAAGATTCCCAATCAAACTGTAACTTTACCGAAGGTCATGTAACCATAACAAAGGACTAAAGAACACACTATTCATGCCATAGTACACTTTTTTTTAACTTCTAAGAGGTAAATATTTTACATTTTATTTTTGTGATGAATTCAAAGTGTATGCACTTGCTTTTTGTGTTATGTTGTAGCTACACCACTGAATGAACATCTTAAAAGGTCCTAATCATGCTAATAACATTTGACTTACATAAAATCTATAGTCTGAGTGAATGAGAAATATGAGCTCAATGAATAGAATTATCATTAAACCACCCGCATGTTATCAGAAATGAGTGGGCCACTGTAACTTGATAATGCCCTCATATTGCTTGACGAAGGGCCAGGTGATATCCTATTGATGTTAGGTGACATCATATTGATGTTCAATAGTGACATCATCTGGTTTGTTCTGTTACGTTTAAGCAGTTAAGGGAAGTTCTCAGGCTTTTGCAAATGATAATGATAATGCCCTGAAAAATAACCTTACCCTTATAATATACAGTGAGTGAATAAGACACTAAATGACATAGACAGTGTGCAACATGGTGAAGGTGAACTGAAAACAAATTAGGCCACATGTTTTATTTTTCATTTACAGTCCCACCGCCCCTTCTGAAAAGCGACCTTGTGTGCAAAAAGCTGGAATATATCTGTGAAATGTAAAAATTAATAAAGTGTGGCCTTAAGTACCAGTTAAAACAGGGGACAAACAACGAAGTGAGCAGTGTGTCTATCAACACAAGTCACATTACAATAACCTTATATGATGTCAACTTATGTTTTCATGTTATGGATGAAGAGTAAGTCTGACTGTACAAACCTTCAAATATAACTGATTTACTGAAGAAATATGAGAAGATTGGGCAGGTGATCATTCCTATGCTGAAGACGATCATCGTCTTCATCACCTTGCTGTTGCTGTTATCAGCCATCCGCATACTGCAACAGATAGATAACACATCAGCTGCACAGAAACAGTATCTTCATCATGTCAACTGGTATAGAACTTATCAGAGAATATACCACGGATGTTATGAACATCATAAGTGGACTGTTAACATGGTTATTTGGGAGTTGTCTTCCTCGTGTTCCATCTTGAGTAGGTTGATTCTCAGAACAGTATCTTAGTTAGATTGTTACTTGATGAAACCCACAGGAACAGGTGAAGTGTTTGAATTGAAAATAATTACCAGACTGCCAATAGGACCAATAGATTTTAGAACCTGTAGGCCTTGTCTTAACTCCACAAAGCCCTGACTAGACGCTGTAGGCCCTGCCTAAACTCAGCAGAGCCCTTACTAGATGCTGTAGGCCTTGTCTTAACTCCACAGAGCCCTGACTAGACGCTGTAGGCCCTGCCTAAACTCAGCAGAGCCCTGACTAGACACAGACAGACAGCTAAGCTTCATTCAATTACAGAATAAAATTGAAATTCAAAGGAAATCTGCAATCCCTTATCAGTTTTGATTACTTAACATCATACACTGCCCCTAATCTACAACACCTCAGTGACTTGCTGACCCTGGTGACTGAGGCTGAAGTGAGTAAATAACTCCAACAAGTACTCATCATCACTGTCTGTCTGTGTGTCCTGCAGCCACATTGAGCCTTTCTAACTGTTCTTGAGTTTTGAGTGTGAAACACTTGGAATTTTGACAATCAGCAATTTTCAGCCAACATGCAGGTGGTCATTACAAACACTGCAGGTGTATCCTTCTTCAACAATGTTCAAATCTATGTTGAACAGAACAAAATCTGTTCAGCGAAATGTGCTGTCTACATGGTCTAAGACCAGTGGCTTATCCCTAACTCCAACTCTTGAGTTTTCTGAATACGATGTGATCATGCTGATCATGCCAGTATATAACAGATAAATCAATTACTGGTAATCATCAACCAAACTGAACGGATTGTGCAAAAAGTTGGAACCAAGCACTAAATGAAATTTTGAATTGAAAATGTAGTTTGGAAAACAGCGCTTAAACATGTTAAACAAAATAGGGATAGAAGGGTTATCATGATGTCATTGAATAAGCCCAGAGATGTTGAGAGTTTTCAACATTTGTTTACTAAATATAGCCTGTGGTGGCACATTTATAGCAGGCGCCATTTCATTTTCAAAATATTTTGGGGGGGTTTCAACTTAACTCAGGTGAATGAATGGATTGTAAATGGGAACTGCTTTACACATTTTATATTTTTAATTTTAGTTTCAAAATCACCGAGTGAATTATCAAAACTATGTCATTCATGTGTACTCGTGAATTCAACGTCTGACTCTTGGAGCCCTTCGAACAATCCGAAGGCCACGAGTTTGCATCCTATGGATTCTCACAAAAACTGGTTGCTCATGTTTGAGACATGTGACCTATGGCAGAGATTGTCCTCACGAGAAATTGTGGTACTGTATACTAAAGGTGCTCCCAAGAATCTTATTATCATGTAACATTAGTCCTACCATTTAACCTTAGCTAGACTAATATGTTTACCAAGTTAGTATGAATCTTTTATATCAAAATGCCCCAAAATATATCTGTTACAGTGAACAGTGAAAATTCTGAAACTGTAAAACATGCCACAAAGGTGGGAAGTGAGCATGTAACATGTCCATAAGAGTATGATTGCGGGAGTACTTCATCATGTTCATTGTTATGGCACACTTTTCCGGATTTAAATTTGTATCGCAAAGAAGATTGAACTAATGTTGTCTGCATACAGCTAAACTAGGCTAGTGAGTTAATCTATTCAGGCAACACTTCACCATGAGACAACAGGTGCTGTCACAAATAAACAGTACTTGTTTACCTATTGATCAACACCAATTTTTTTCCCTTGATGTGCATGAAACACAAAATTAACAGGATTAATCACTTTCCTCAAATTTGATAACATACAACTTATTCGTTAAAAGAGATACCTAACTAACTACCAACCCTAAGGATCGTGAAGGGATGAAGGGGTGAAGGAGAAGTAGCAAACCCTAACATCACATCCATTGACCGAGATGGGCAACAATTCAGTTTACCGGGCCCAGCCGAGCTCTACCATCCGCTCAATTACCGCGCTATAGTGCCACCGCTGTCTCGTTTTACCGTTACCGTGCCTCTTGCTCTGGTGACTCTCGCTTCACGATCCAACGCCCGTTTTCGGTCTTAGGGAAACTGACACAGCTTTACGATCCAACACCCGTTGTCGGTCTTAGGGAAACTTATACATCTTTACGATCAAACACCCGTTCTCGGTCTTAGGGAAACTTACACGTCTTTACGATCCAACTCCCGTTCTCGGTCTTAGGGAAACTTACACATCTTTACGATCAAACACCCGTTCTCGGTCTTAGGGAAATTTACTTATCTTTTCGATCAAACACCCGTTCTCGGTCTTAGGGAAACTTACACGTCTTTACGATCCAACACCCCTTTTCGGTCCTTAGGGTTAGCTTGCTTGGGGCAAGGGTTAGCCATAAATTCTTACCTGTTTAAGAGTAAATATGGTTAATCCCATTGGTCGGTCATGTTGACATACACAATGGCGGGAGTAGTTTCAAGAAAAGATGAATGGGAGAGCGGACTGTGATGTCACACGCATGCGCAATTAATTGTTTACTGAATTATGCATGCATGTTGATGGGGATTCTAATGACCGGTTAAACGAGCACTGATTACATGTGATAGCGCCCGTGGTCCAGTGGTAGAGCACATTAACACATTAATACATTAATTAGCAGAGCGTTCGAGCCCCCACAGCGCTAATTGGAACTGAAGAAGTGCGCCCGGTAAAGTGCACTACTCCCCCGAGGTGTGGTAAGATCAAAGAGAATATATAAAGCTGGTTTGGGTACACAAAAAAGCAGAATTTAGATCGCGTTTCCTACCACTGTGGGTCCTGAACTTCACGGGATAATCACTATAACAAATCTCGTGATCTGCAAGATGTGTGGAGATTTACAAAGTCATCCATCACACAGGGAAAAAAATCAACATGATCAAAACGTACGCGGTTATCATCGTATTCCAAATTATTTATTCGACATTTGACTTCACTCAAATTGATTCGTTAAAAATTATGATGATCAACAATATCCATAACAATAAGTATACGCAAATTCATTTTGGGCATACCTCGCGATGCCACTGGATTCCGCCATTGTTGAGGAAGTTGTATCTCCGCAGTGAGTAGGCGGACTCGCTGAAAACTTGTAGCCATGCTATAGAGTTTAGAAGTGCATTGTGTTTTGTATGGCATGGTCACTGTTGAGAGCCGTACTTTCAACAACAAAAAAACCCCTATTATTCGAGAAATCTAATGAGAGTATTATGTGTATGCATTCCAACTTGTTTGTTTCATATATCTCAACCCTATTTTATTTTTATCAGTACAATAAAGCAACATTACTATTCCGCAGTTAATCATGTGCTCTTCCGGATTCAGAAGTGGGCAGGTCTTGAGAAGTGGATTATCAACACTATCTGGGTGTTTAACGTAAAGCTAGGAGTCACGTGTGTTGCCAGTATGGCAATGTCATAAGCCTATGGTCAGGAAACAAGGTGACATGAAGATTCCATTCAAAGGAGAATATATCTTGGATATTGTACGCCACTGACATTCAACAACTGTTACAGCTGCATATTGAGACTGGGGACAGTTAGCATAGCGTTTTCAGTATCAAGATGTCTATCGTCCAAGTGGTTGGATCGGGTGTGAAAGCCAGTGCCTCAGCAGACCGAACATCATTCATAGGAGCCAGAGTCCCCAAGGAAGTGAAAGCACTTCCCAAGCCACTTGCCAAACTTGACAAGGAAACTTTCAGAAAATTGTTGAAAAGTACACGTTATTTATTCTTATCTATTTTAATAAACTTTTAATTAGGCAAACGTAATATGAATCAGAAAATTGTAATGATGTTGCATAACTTCCAGGGATCAATGAACATGATGCTGATTGATTACACTGTCTTGATTGTTAATGATGATTTGATAGGAATTGAGATGTTTTTTTAGTCAAATGTTTCATTAATTGTTGAACAGTGAAAAGAAATTTGTACATAATTGCAAATATACTCACCCGTGATTAATGTACAACATACCTATTATTTTTGAATACTGTAAAGATTAATACATTTCTGGTCCTGTAACTAGAATCTAGTTGAAGGACATTCCAAGCATAATTTGAAAATAAAACACTGTTCATTTTATTAGGATTAATGTAAAGACGTTTCTAGACTGAACCATCTTTGATTATCTTGTGCATTATACCTCAGTTATTTTATGATAAATTGCATAATTGAGGATGAGATTGATCTAGATCATGAATCTGTAGTCAGCAGACAGTGTTGTTTGAGTGACATGATTCATGATTCTAGGTTCCCATGGTTACATCGCAGAGTTCAGATTGTTTTGTGCCATATGTTCTATTCATGCCCTAAGTTTTTAATGGGGCAGTCGGGTAGACTAATGGTTAAAGCGCTTGCTCGTCATGCCGAAGACCCGGTTTTGATTCCCGACATGGGTACAATGTCATTATGTGAAGCCCAATTCTGGTGTCACCTGCCTTGATATTGCTGGAATATTGCTAAAAGCAGCGTAAAACCATACTCACTCACTCACTCACTTTCTAATGATCCATATGATCAATATTGACCTTTCGCACACATTTAGCATCTCTAGAATGAATACTGAGACCTGTAGACTTATATCATCAATTAAAACCCTGTATGTATAAATTGTTCATGTGTCCTATGAGTATGTCTGTAGTTTCCCAACATTGATTTACTCTTTCAGTGGTGGTTGCCGCCATGGAGGGAGAGGAAGTCCAGCACAAGCAGATCAAAGAAATCATCTCCAATGGTGAAAGTGAGGAGTCGCTGACAGCCATGTACACTGGATTGTACACACTGCTTCGTACAGCTCTCAGGCACCCTCAAACATCACTCAAGATGGAGGTGAGGCTACCTACCGGGTTCAGCTGTTATTCTACTAAGTAGTATGGGGGTGGTGGGGGGTGGTGGCCTGGTGGTTAAAACCTTCGTTCAACAAGCTTATATCTGAGTTCGAATGCAAACATGGACAAAGCCAATTCATAGTGTCCCCTACCATGATTTTGCTGGAACCTCAGTCACTCATTGCTATGTACTGTGTAAAATGGGGGGTTTGTTTTCAAGACAATGGAATGTTTATTGTCAATAGACCAATCCCAAATAATGTAACAGTATATTTATGTCTGTACCATATTTCCTCTATCAGACGCCTGGCACACTGGCAACTCATTACCTTAATACCAAATCCCAAATTCTACAGTTATGCAAATGTTACATTTGCAGGAAACCGTCATAATTAAGTGGAGGGAGTAATCATTATATGCCGTAAAGTAATGAGATAGGGATCCATAATTGCATTAAATGATGGACCCGGCAGCAATTAGAGGGTGGTGTGTATAATAAGACCCTGCATCTAATAGAAGAATTACGGTACCCTTTTTACGCAGTTTAAAATGGTTTATGTTCAGTCATCTCAAATATAAATTTTGGTGATTACTTCTGAACACAATTTTAATATGTTTATGATCAAATAACGAGAATCTGTGAAAAAATGATGGTGTTGAAGCCATGGCATGATACTACTACAGTGATCCCTCGATATACCGCTGTCATCGGGGTCCAAGAAACCGACCCCGCGTCCTAGGAAAGAGCGTTGTACAGATATTCCTTGCTGAGGTTCACATTACGTGTTAAGTCGAGGGACCACTGTATCACCAAACTCACGTCACTTGGTGACATTGGCACAGTGCTATTTTAATGTCAATCCTTAGGGTAAAAAAAATAATAGTCTTGGTTCTTAGGCACCGTCTGCATCATCATAAAGTTTGCCGCACATTTCGTTTTTATTTCCATTTTAAATTTATTTTTTTAAATCCTTAAATATTCCAAGTCCAATTGTAGTCAAATACTGTATTCCAGTATTTTCCTCACCTAGGAATACATTTATGTAGGGAGGCCCTTTCTCATGCTGATTAGACACAGCTGTTTATTTGGTTACATACTAGTTTGTGTATCATATGTATGATGATACAGGGGTTGTAAATCGATGTATTGTGTCGTCGGCCTGGTATTGTGACACAATCCTGTGTTCTCGTATCGTTACACCACTAATGATAATGATAACGTTCCAGGCTATGTGATGACGAGTGTTTTTCGCTCATACTAGCCTTCTGGTTCTGGACGTCACACCGAAGACCCGGGTTCGATTCCCGACATGGGTACAATGTGTGAAGCCCATTTGTGGTGTCCCCCGCCGTGATATTGCTGGAATAGTGCTAAAAGCGGCGTAAAACCATACTCACTCACTCTGGTTCTAGATGCAGTATTTGATGAAAATGATCAACCTCTGTGGATGATTCTTCAGTTAACCAACATGAAATCACTTTTAGTATATTGACATGTGTATGATATAATATGTGTTTGTTCTCTTTCAGTTATTCAAGATTGACTTAAATGACTTACAGTGAGTATGACTAGAAGAACATTGTGAAAGAATCACTGATTACCTAGAGCCTGACTGAAACAAAACAATCAGCTGATCCTGAGTGATTCATGTTTTAAACCGACTATGCTTGTCATAAGAGGCGACTAACGGGATCAGGTGGGCAGGCTCGCTGACTTGGTTGATGCATGTCATCGAAACCCAATTGCGTAGATCAAGGGTCATGATATAAATCACTGGATTGTCTGGTTTTGACTTGATTATTTACAGACTGCTGTCATATAGCTGAAATATTGCTGAGTGCTGCGGTAGACAACAGACAGACAAACAAACAAAAAGTTTTCCAAACACTTTTTGTGTGTTTTTTATTGCTATTATACCTGTATGTAGAGGTGAGTGGTATTACCTGTATACCACGTTACGAAATACTTATGAATACATATCACAATATATCTGGAAAGTACCTGTACATTGGGTTTTTCTAATAACATGATAATGCATATTTTCAATTGGAAGTCAAATTGAAATTATGGTGATATTTAGAAATTACTGTTTCCTGAGATCGAAGAAGCGAAACTATTCACAACCAACTTCATTTATATAATGTGTCTATTACACATGCATTTTGACCAATTACAAAGTTGGCAAAAATGTGCAGGGGAAGTTGCCTTTTTTTATTCAGGTTCACAATAAACTACAGATGCAAACACATGCAGATTATTGTGGTACATATCGCAAGACATGAATCATTATTGCAATAAATTGCAATACAAAAAACAGGCCAATACCTATCACTACCTGTATACCTGTATGCTCAGTGTCCAAAATATGGGTGGACCTAGAGGTGTGCTGCTGTAGTGTCTGTTCTAGGGACCCTTTAAATCTTCAGGTTTTTTCACTGGGGCTATGGCAAGGACCGCTTGATTAATCTGAACTCTGATACCACATCTCTTTGGGATGTTATCAAATAGAATTCATTGTTTGATAGAAATTATGGTAATGTTATCTTCCACATATTTCAATTTCATGTCATGTATATGGAAACATCAATATTGTTTGTTCCAGAATACCAGAAGAGTTTCAGACAGACATTGCCAGTGTTATCTTTGGAAATAGGTAAGACTTTGAAAAGTGGTCATGTAAAAAACTTGAGGCTTCTGTTTTGCCTAGTTCGGAGACAACATCAACAGTTTACTGAGGCTCCCGACACCCTAGGGATTCTGGGTTAGTGTAGGTCCCCAGCAACCTATGCTGTTCGTAAGAGGCAACCAAATGGACGGGCAGTCGGGTAGCCTAGTGGTTAAAGCATTTGCTTGTCACACGGAAGACTGGGGTTAGATTCCTGACATGGGTACAATGTGTGAAGTCCATTTCTGGTGTAACTGCTGTGATATTGCTGGAATATTGCTAAAAGTGGCGTAAAACCATACTCACTCACTCACTCGCTCACTCCCAAATGGATCAGGTGTCACGATTTGTGACTTTGTCATGATATCCCAATGGTGTTGATCATTGCAATTTATTCACAATATCGATCACTGGATTGTCTGGTCCAAACTTGATTATTAACAAGTTATAATGTAGCTGGAATATTGCTGAGTGCGATGTTAAACAAAAACAAAATATAATGAAATACTTTTATTCTCCATACTAATTTATCAGTGACTTGGAGTAACGACCTTCATTGATAGTTGATCAGGAGTAAAACGATATGTGTGTTTCCAATTTCATCCCATCACAAAATACGGTAGGTGGGTTGCTTTAGGACCTTTGTGAACTCTTCTTTTTTCAGAAACACGGTAATGTGCAGTATATAAGTAAAAGCCTGCTTTCAAGTGACAATAAAGTTTACAGCTGTTTTTTTAATTCTCTTGTTCTGTCTGGTGAAGAGCAAGACATTTTGGGGGAGAGGAGGGGGGGGGCATAAAAATATGGGCAACCTCTGGATGTGATGGCTATGGTTCAAGTTGACTCATGGGTTTCAGTTCCTTTACTTGTTTCTATTCAATGTTCCAACAATTGCTTGAAAAAGGTACCAACATCTGATCCAAAATGTCTCATTGTTACACATTTTACAAAAATAAAGAAGTTAGACAATGCAGCCATCCTTTTCTGATAAGCTAAAGCAGTTCTTTTGAATTCTGGGTGCACGGGTGGCCCATTCGTCTAGGGTGCTGCAATTTGCTGTGCAGAGTTGCGTCCCTTGGGCCCATCCGAAACCAAGGCGTGTAGATTCAGTTCCTGGTTCTCATGTTTGTCTGTTTGTCAGCAACATACCCATGCTCGTGGGTTTTACCAAAGTGGTAAACACTTGAGACCTGCGTCACTTGGACTTTCTACCAACATTAAGCTGACATGTCAGAATATAACTGGAATACTGTTCAATACTGCGTTAATCCTAACTCACTAACTCTTACAAGTATATTTGTCTGAGTTTCACAACCATGAGTAAATTGTCAACTTTATCAGGTCAGATTAGATAAACATTATGTCACAAAACTAGCCAAAATATCTACTTATTTTATTTATCATGTTTACAGTATTATATATTTTATTGCCAGGAGACCCAAGATCGATAAACATGCCGTTGCTGGCCGACCCCACCTACCAAGTCTAGACCTGTTTAGATGGAGGGTAGATGTAGCTATATCAACGAGGTGAGTTAATGACTAAACACTACCTGTCAGGGAGACACTGTCCCACCATCAAGTCACACACATGACAGGAATTGGTATGGATTCGTACCACTTAGTTTTGTCGCCACTGTTGGCTAAAAGCAATAAGCTTGCTGTGGAAGCAGTTAAGTTTTTATCTGAATGTCCAATAATTTCCTCCCTTGCGAGTGAAAATAATTTAAACAGTAGGAGTTACCTCCCCTAGGACCAGATTGTCCGGTACTTAGTTTAGCGTCCCTCCATATCCGTTGGCTGGCAAAGCATACAGAGCTGGCAATTTTTAATCATGGAAACTAATGTATTAATTTCTAACTGGTAATGGTTTCTATTTTGGAGGTTATTTTGAGATAAATTGCTGAAGTAAGAGTGTTAAAGTATTTACTGACTGTTCTGTATGGGGGAACATGGGTGGCCCAGTCGTCTAAGGCACCGCGATTCGCTGTGCAGAGTTGCGTCCCTTGGGCAAGCCAGAAACCTATGAGTGTTGGTTCAAATCCCGGCTCGCCCTGATTATGTTTCTAGGTTTGTCAGCACCATACCTGTGCTCGTAGGTTTCAGCAAAGTGGTAAACGTCTAAGACCTCAATCAACTGAGGCTTTCCTCCCACATTAAACTGCCACTCTGTGATATAACTGGAATAATGTTAAAAGCGGCGTTAAACCCAACTCGCTCACTGTCCTGTCTGGATGTTTCAGTGTGTTGAACCGAGTGCTAGAACCCACGGTCATGATGGAGATGACTCTCAGCAATGGCAGAATCCATACATTTGAGGTAAGGAGCCAACTATTTCGTCCTCGTATGTTCAGGGGTGGTCCCTGAGATTTTCTGTGGCCATTTTACTGACACATTTAAGGTACATACTAGAAATACCTGTCACGTCTGCTCATCTGCCTAAGGATATTCTGATTTGTAATCACTTCGCAATTTAAACTGTCAAGTATGGGAGTGTTGTAATGATAAGTCAATCATTTGGCAATATGAAGCCGAGATTCATAGATTCATAGACATTCATTGCTTACGGCTTGGCAAATGGGATAAAGCCCCAACATTCTTTAATCTATGAAGTCGCTACGTTGTTACCTCATTCATGTCGGACGTAATCAGTGGAATGTCGCTGCATGTTACAAATTGTTTGTTTGTTGTTTAAAGTCGCACTGAGCAATATTCCAGCGATATGACGGCGGTCTGTAAATAATCGAGTCTGGACCAGACAGTCCAGTGATTGACATCAATAGCATCGATCCTCACAAATGTGATATGATGACATGAATCAACCAAGTCAGCGAACCTGACCACCCGATCCCGTTAGTCACTAACCCCATTCTTTTAAGTTTGGACAAATATATTAAATCCAAAAGATTTTAACCTTATGGGGTTTCTGGGTTAGAATTGGTACCTAAACAGGCATGTTATGTGGTTTCCCCAAAACTGGTAAACGTCGTAATATAAGTGTACTGTTGTTGAAGCTGTCTTAAACACAGCTAGTGTTCATGAGTGTGTGGATTCCGGTTTGAAACTGGTCCCCAGTAACCTATGCTGGTCGTGAGAGGTGACTAAATGAATTCTGTGGTCCTGCTAGGTAACTAGGTTGATCACATGCCAACGTACCCCGGCGGCATGGGTTATTGCTCTCTATATCAATCACTGGATTGTCTGGTCCAGACGCCTATTTTACAGGCTGCCATCATATGGCTGAAATATGTAAAACAACAAACAAACAAACAATCAATCAAACATAAAGAATTTCGGAATTCCTGTCTTTAAATAAAATGAATACTCTTCACAGAGACAAGTGGACGTCCTCAAGACTTTGTATCTGTATGTTTTACTTTACAGGTGCCAGTTTCAAAATTCCATGAACTACGATACAATGTTGCATACGTGTTGAAAGAGATGGAAGATTTAGAGAAAAGAAGTATACTGAAAATACAAGACTGAGTGATTATATTTTAGATGCATTGTTAATATATGACATGTTGCCATGGTTACCATTGTTACGACATCACAGCATTCCTATGTTTCAGGTACACATTATGTATATTATATTCACAAAAATATTGCCACCCAGAGAAAACTTTGTTGAATGATTGATGGAATGATTTGTTGAAAAATGACACCAGCAAACTCATTGGAAAGTAATTTGTATATCCAGGGATATATTCCATGCTTAAGGCAAATTATGAATACTTTTTTGGGGGTGGGGGGGGGGTCAAGATTGTATTAATGCATTAATAATTATTATGATGTTTTTACATTGCATTCAATGCAAATGTGTCAAGCGCTGCATTACAGTCTCTTCGACATAACATTTTCAATCAAAATATTAACAGGAATTGGCAAATTCTAATTCCAATTTTTGTTACATTTTCAACTGATTTGGGGTGTATTATCTGGACAGGTATGGATAAATCCTTGATATATTGTTGTTGATTGACACTCAGAGTGGCTGCCACATGTTTTAGGTGAATACCATGGTCTCATGTTACAGTAATAATACATTGTCATAAACATTCTCATTAAAACCATTCCTTGTGCATGGTACAGTAGTGAGCGCAAACAACTGATTTTAGTGAAATTATTTATTGTCATGAGGTTTAAGAAAAATCAAAGAAGTGGTTCTCAGGCATTGGCTTTTGAATATATAGTCGGGGCAGGTGGTGTTTTTTTATTTATTTATTTTTTTATTTTTTTTGAAGGGGGGGAGGGGGGGGGGTTGTTGTTGAAACTTGTATGTATCCAAAAAAACAGTTGTGTGCACTCTACCTGGGAAAGGGCCTCCCCACATAAATGTATTCCTTGATGAGTAAAATACTGTAACACAGTATTTGATACAGTAGGACTTGGAATATTTTTAGGATTTAGTTTTGTTTATTTTTAAAAATGGAAGAAAAAGCAAAATGTGCGGCAAACTTGATGCGGGTGGTGCCTGAGAACCAAGACTATTTTTTTACTTAGCCTTAATTGTGATTTTTGTTCATAGATCTTATTTAGAATCATAAGATAACCTTAAAATTTTGTTTTGAACTTATGTATGATGTGTTTACTTCTTGTAGTAAAACAGCAGAAGATATCCATGATAAATCCTGTTTTTAACATTCAACATTAGTTACATATATTTTCAATGACTTTGAGCCTGTTGGTGAAATACTCTTGGGAATTTAGACTTTGCTGCATGAAATGTCATACATCGTCAAAAACGTAATTGTTGTGTATATTGTGGACAGTTATATCCCAACTGTAGCTGTGCAATTATTCCTTCCACCGACTAACTAAGTTGGATGAATGAACTTGCATCTGGAACTATTCCACATCAAATTTCCAATATATACCACTCAAAAAAGTTAAAAAACACCCGATTCTTTCGTATCACTATACATGACTAACTGTAGCCAAGATTGGTTGTTCTTTAACTTCATTTGAGTAGTATATATATTCAGAGGGACCAAGCTTTATCATAAGTTTAATAGTTTGATCACTAAAAATGTTTTCATTTGACTGAAAATTACATGGTGTTATTACCTGGTTGAGACTGGTATACAGGAGTCTGTGTAGAAAGATATAACTCTGGTGATGGAATACGGTGTTTGATGAAAAACCTTTAATGTCATATGACCAAAATCATGCTATTCAGTCTATTTGCTGGAATGATATGAAAAATATACAAAACCTTCATTATTTGAATCTTTTTATAGTTTATGAAAAAAGCAATATGTCGAAAAACACAGTTGTTGTGTTTGTCGGACTCCAGACCAACCAACAATCAGAACGTCCTCAATGATTGAGATATCGAAAACCTAGTCATTACACTGTGTCCAGATTCACACTCCCTCTACGTCTCCAGGCTTAGCACATTGGTAAACCTGCCGTGACCCCTGGACTTGACCCCCACCCTTGATTTCCAATTTGATTGGCCTCGCTACTAGGTCTAACATACCAATCAGAATGCGAGTTACAATCCAGCCTCAATTGTTGGATTGGCCAGTCACATTGATTATGATCGAGTTTGCAAGAAATTCAACATTGAAAAACTGACTGACATGCAAAAAAGGACGTCAAAAATCTTTTTAATGGAAAGGATGTCTTGTCCATAAAAGCTGGTGGTGGCTTTGGTTTTGAGGTAAGATGACTTACCTCCCTTACCCTTTCCCTTATGTCGACGTTTGATTGGACGGTAAAATGTTAATAAATAATCCAGGCGGGTGATTTGCGATCGCAAGAACCACAGGGATGGGTCGAAGGGTTAGTGTATGTGAACCGAAATGCTAGCCCTGGAGCTGGAGAGGATGAGTCTCACACATCATCACGCATCATGTTTCGGTTCCTTCTACAAGGAGTACACTTAAATTTAGTGGATTTTGTTTTATTGAAACTGATCATGTCGACCCATCTGAGTTTCTTGTCAGTATAGCATTATGGTAGGGGTGTCACTATATACCTGTCTCATGTTTCCATACATATTGCCGTATTTGAGTCACAATACGATATGGCTTTTTTTATTTTATTTCGTGAACTCCATGTTTCATGTTGCATGGCTAACAAAGGATGTTGTTGATGACCAGTTTGTGTTCACTTCAAATGACTCGTTTGTAGTATCATGCAATTTAGCATTTGTTTTGCAACAGGTGCTGTTAATTCTAGCTCCAGTAGTTATCAGGGCCCCATACCACAAAATGATCTTAGCGCTATGTCAATCATAACTCCAATACTTTAACATAGACTTACGATGTTAGCGCTACGTCAATCGTAACTCTCATACCTTAACATAGACTTACAATGTTAGCGCTACGTCAATCGTAACTCCCATACCTTAACATAGACTTTCAATGTTAGCGCTACGTCAATCGTAACTCCCATACCTTAACATAGACTTACGATGTTAGCGCTACATCAACCGTAACTCCCATACCTTAACATAGACTTACAATGTTAGCGCTACGTCAATCGTAACTCCCATACCTTAATATAGACTTATGAGCTTAGCGCTATGTCAATCGTAACTCCTATACCTTAACATAGACTTACAATAGTCGCACCAAAGATCGCTTTGTGAAACAGTAGCCTGACTGGGTAAATGCAAAACATTGCAAATTTTAGTTTTTGGAAACATACAGCCGTGACATGAAATGCCTACATGTATCGTACTGTCAGCTTATTCATGACGTATTGATCGTATATTGTGACATCCCTATAGTATTGTCCTACATATTGCTGCCGACACAGGATAAGATTTTGTTCCAAACACACTACAAGTGGGACTGTTCATTATAAAATGTTTGCGGTGCAAATGAAGCAGTGGTAAAATCCCTGCCTACATGTATAATGTTATGTCGCCTGTCTGTGTGTTTGAAGGGGAGGGTATCCCCTCGTTTGTCTTCCTTCGAAAAACATTGCTATTTCTCAACAGTATTACAGTTCACAGATTTATCCTTTGTGTTTTCTTTTTGTGTTTTGTTCTAGTTTTTTTACACATTCTGTTATTAACCATTGTTTCATTCTGACGTAAATGTCAGTGAGATGCAGTGAAACACAGTAAGAAGTTATCCATGGTGAAGATTCGTCATCCTCATCCTTAATTTGTTTGCCTTTTGGTTAATGCCACGCTCGGGGGACGGGTGGCCCAGTCGTCTAAGGCGCCGCGATTCGCTGTGCAGAGTTGCGTCCCTTGGGCACGCCAAAAACCTATGAGTGTGGGTTCGAATCCGGTTCGCCCCGATAATGTTTCTAGGTTTGTCAGCACCATACCCGTGCTCGTGGGTTTCACCAAAGTGGTAAACGTCTAAGACCTGCATCACTTCGGGCTTTCCTCCCACATTAAGCTGACACGCCGTGATATAACTGGAATACTGTTAAAAGTGGCGTTAAACCCAACTCACTCACTAATGCCACGCCCAGCAATGTTCCAGCTATAAGACAGCGGTCTGTAAATAATCGTGTCTGGACCAGACAGTCCAGTGACATCATGAACATTGATCCATTCAATTACAAAAGATGACAAGCAATTAGCAAAGTCACTGAACCTGACAACCCAATCCAATTAGTCTCCTCTTGCGACAAACAGGTTGCTGAGGGCGTTTCCTTTACTAGAATTCCTAGGGGCGTCTAACGTTATACATACCCTGGACCCGTTCATGACAGGGTCTGTGCAGGTGCTCTCTACATAGTTTGCTGTACATAGTTTGCTTAGACTATGTCTGACTGTCTGTGTTGTCACTGATAGTCTGAAATCTTCCAGCCAATATTTGACGTGTATATTACTCATTTTTTGAAAGGGAATACTTTAGAGACACAAGTCTGATTATGTGTTTGTAAATAGTGTGAAATATTTCAGTTTGCCAATCAAGAATGATAAAGTTGTATTATCTGTCGTAATAGAAAAATCATATTTTGGTATTTTTTAGTTCTCACACGCACGCATGCACATGCAAAATATTTGTTGTGTGGAGGTGTTTTCAGAGACTTGCCCATATCTCACTATTGAAGGGACCATTTTTTGAAGGTAAATTGTCATTAAAATTGATATATCCAATCAGTCTGGTTTGATCTTTTTATTCAGCAGTCAGCAATATAGCGTTACCATGGTAATAAATACTCACTGTAGTCCATTGCTACTCCATGAACAACTTGTGTTATGGCCACGTCTCGTTTGGCAAAGGAGTGTGTGGAGTGCAGTAACATTCAGTCAGAAATTTTCATTCAAGTTATTATGAAAAAAGATTTATTTGTAAATATTGAAAAAGAAATGCCTGTCCTTTAATTATCTATCACTTTGAAATATGCTTGCAAATGTCCAGCATCATTGTAACCATTTACATAGACATAATAAATGACAGAATTTGTACATAATTGATAGACGTTTTATATGGGACTGATATTTTTTATTATAATACAGTATAATAATACCAAAATAATTAACGTTTTTTCTATAACAAAAAAGAGATCCAGCAAGGTTAGAAACGATTTCAAATTCATATTTCTTATATTAGGTCATTACAGGTTGTATGTCGTATTGTTTAGATATTAGCATATACAAAGTTCGCATGTAAGAAGGAACGTTTTTCAAATATATGTGTATCACTGATATTAATCATGCAAACCAAATAAATTATACAATTAAGAACTCTGTGCTTGTTAATCTCTGATTTTGTTGATGAGAATTGTTAGTTCCCCTGAACTGATGCCTCCGTGCCGCCATATTATGCTTTGATAT